CAAAAGAAGATCCCCCGCTTCCCAAATTTAGCCTACACTTCTAAAAGCAAAAAGCATTGATCATTCATCTGCAATTAAAAGCTCTTCTCTGAAAGTCAGACCGGTTCCCAACTTCAGTCTGTTGGGATACCTTCCTGCACAGGCAAGTGCTGCGTTAACGTTGCAGGCATGAGGCTGCTGTTAGGATTGGATGAGAAAATCTGCAGCCTGGTCCTAGCTCTGCTGCTGAGAGCCTTCTTTTTGATTTGGCATAGTCACTTAGCACCTTATAAGATGGAGATTTGTGTGTACTACATAGGAATGCTGTTCATGCCTTAAAGCTTGTGAAAATATGAGTTCCTCCTGCGGAAAAAGGTTTTTTTTTAAAAAAAATGGTTAAGTCTCAGCTATTTGATCATGTGTTATTATTCAGCATGATTCATATATTAATACCATACTGAGAATGTCTCTATAAAGCCTAATATTATGCTTCTGGGATTAAGCAATATTTCTTAAGCTGTTTCTTATCCCAGTATTTTTGCAGAGAAGCTGGAACAGGGCCAGTTCATGCAAGGTGCGTACACATTAGTGGTTAGCTCAGGTCAGGAGAGCACTTACAAAGTGAATGCCCCAATCATCCCCACTTACCCTGCTGTGGTTTGCATCATGGAGAGGTCACACGAAGTGGATTCCTCTCAGATTAAAGGTGGACAGCGCCCACATTGCAATCTCAGCACTCTTCTGCATTATGGATCTGCTCCTGGGCTATACTACTTGGTAGTGTAGACACAGCTACAGTATATTTACTGCACCTTAAAATCTCTTGATGGCATTTGGGAAGCAAGTTCACTGGCTGGATTAACTAACCACCAAACCTAGTATCTTCACTGGCTAATGTTTAATCAGGGGCTTTATTTTCTTGTTTACACCAGTTTGTTTATGATGCTGAGTCCATCCTCAGTAGCATGGAAGAAAAATCTGACTCTGTTCCTGAGGTAAAGCACCTTAGTCTTTTGCATGAGCCTGAAAGAATTAATATGGAGTAAGACAGGGTTACCACAGAACTGGTTTTTGGAAGTGCCCATTCACTTCTGGGGATCAGGTTCAATCAGTATCTTTTCTCCCAGGGGGAACTGGCAATCTCCCTTGTCCTAAGACCCACTAACTCCCCTTTGAAAAGAGCAGGGAACCACTTCAGAGCCTGCTGCTGCTGAGTAGTCCCCATCCCTACCCTTCCTTTCCTCCTTCAGTCTCCACTATCCAGACACAAGCAGCCAGCTCTCTTCCCTAATTACACAGCAACTGCATACCTAAATATATTTCTTGCATCATGAGGGATGTCCTCCTGCTCCAGCGTGGGGTCCTTCCCATGGGAGACAGTCCACCATGAACTTCTCCAACATGAGTCCTTCCCATGGGCTGCAGTTCTTCATGGACTGCTCCAGCGTGGGTCCTTCCATGGGCTGCAGTCCTTCAGGCACAGACTGCTCCAGCACAGGCTTTCCCATGGAGTCACGGCCATCTTCGGGGTTATCCCCCTGCTCCAGCATAGGGTCCTCCCCGGGCTGCAGGTGGGCACCTGCTCCCCCGCTCCCCTCCACGGGCTGGGGGGGGACAGCCTGCCGTCTCACCACGGGCTGCAGGGGCATCCCCTCCTCCCCCGCTCCTCCTCCCCTCCTTCTTCACTGACCTTGCTGTCTGCACAGGGGTTTCTCTCACATCCCGCTCCCCTCTCTGCTGCAGGTTTCCCTTCTTAAATATTTTATCCCAGAGGCGCTACCACCATCACTGATGGTCTCGGCCTTGGAGCCGGGGAAGCTTCTAGCAGCTTCTCACAGGAGCCACCCCTGCAGCTCCTCCCCCCCACCAAAACCCCATCACACAAACCCAATACACTATCACAGTCCCAAGACTTTTGAAGCATGGGAGTAAAACTCATGCTGCTCACTGAACTATTTGATAGCTGTTTTCCCGAGCAGATGCTTGGTTATTTTTGTTAGTGATTACAATATCTGGCAGTAGGAAAATGTTAAGGAGGTGTCAGAGCTACAGAGGAAAAAGCCAACTCCCAAGTTATGAAGGGGTGATGGCAGAATTTATGGGCTGGCTGGGGTTGCAAAGAAGTGGACAATTACATCTTACTTGCAACATGCAGGGAACGTTTTCCTTCAGATGAGGCTCTGTACAAGTGTGCCTTGAAGATTTTCACACAGGGTCTTACAACAAAGCTAGCTGGTCTGGGAAGAAACGCCAGTCAAAATTTTCACGCAAAACCTTCAATATGATATTTAGTGCATTTTTACACTTTGCCTCCAGAAAGCCCTGTTTTTACAAAAGTTCGGGAGAATTAAAATCACTGGCAGACATACCAGACCTACGGATTCTGTGGGATTTCAAGTCAAATTCATACAATTCCTTCCAAGATATCCCATCAGTTGTCTTATTTAGCTTGTCAGTGCCATTTTTAAAACATATGGTTCAACTAAATCCAACAGCACATAGAAAAAAAAAAAAGTCAGCCTTGCTCCAGCCCCTGCTTCCAACAGCATCTGCCCCAAAAGCCAGGGAGACGTGGGTACCCCCACTACACACAGCACACAAACTCACTGGCAGGCCTGAATGAAAGTTAGCAGCAGGGTCAAACATCTCACCAAAACTCTTGTGCAGATCCCTTTAGCAAGATAGTTTTAACCCACTTTTTCTCCAAGTTCCACCTCTCTCCTCTCAGCCACAGGGTAATGGTAGCAATGAATTTTGTGTTTTATTTACAACGAAGCTGCAAGATCAAGTCAGGCTAGCTCAGACCATGGCTCCGCGAGAGAGCGTCCTCAATGTACCCAGCAGCAGCAGCAGCTTGAGGTGTTTCACCCTCTCACATCTAGCCCTTTCTTTCCCTGTTGTCCAAAGGAATATTGCTTAGTCCCAATGAAGGCAAAGCCAAGGAGGGGCAGGAAGATGGGTCCATTCACAAGGTCTTTGTCATTTACAATAAATTTAGAGCAAGGGTGAATACAGCTAATGCATTCGTAAGGTTTCAACGCCCACCTCCTTTCCTGTAAATTCCTGCAGGACTTTGGCAGCAGAAAGCATACATGTGCTAGAAATAATGGAATTACAGAAGAAAGAAAGGAAGGGAGTGTAAGCAGTGGGAATAGGAAGAAATAGCCAAACAGATACCTTTCACTTTATATACACACCCTTCTCACGTAAACCAGAGGCTAACTATTAGTTCGTTAATCAGCTTATCTTCTGAGAACAGGGTTTGGGTGTACAATATCCATAACAATCAACTACTTTTAAGTTCACATGTCTGCGCCAACGATTTCCCAACATTGCAACTTTTGTTTTTAAGGCAAGCGTCAGCAATGCTCTTTTTCCTTTGATACTACATGTATTTGTGTGTGTATAAAAAACTGTAAATAACCAGGTAGATTCAAGATGTTGTCATTCATCGTTAGGAGCTGAACCCAAGACTCTCAGAGTTACCAGCAGAAGCCTTCATCCCATCAACATGCCCATTGCTGGGCAGCTGTGTTTTCCATAGGATCCCTCTGACTCAGCAGCTAGCAGGAAATGCATAGCACACTGAACAATGAAGCATGGGCAATTACTGAAAGTGTTCTCCATTACAAGTAATTCCAGGTTACATTTCTCTTAGTTTCCAAATTTAAAAAAAAAAAAAAAAAAAAGACATGCATGGATTGTTGAATTTTTTTTTTAATTCAAATAAATGGACTTTAAAGGAGGAAAAAAGACTGTAAAGCATTGCACAGCAGACTGTTTCTATACATAGCTATAAACAGGCCTATAGCTAGCTTATAATAAAGCAAACTGTGCAAATCAACTTAGGCACAGTATCTTCAAAATAGATGTACTACCCACAGTTAAGCTTTGAGCTATTCCAAGCAATGCTGAAGAAAACATTTTCCTATCAGTCTGCCTTCTCAACAAAATCAATTCAGCCAAGACTTACGACAGGAGGGGGATGCTTTGGTGGAACAAGAAAGGGTAGTGCTGCATGCTCTTACAAATGCGTGGCTCTCATCAGGGGACTGGGACACCTTTCGCCTGGAGGTGACCGTGCCTGTGGTTTAGCTGGAGTGACTCAAGCTGCGCCTGCCCACAGGGCTGGTCAGCCCTCAGGGGTGGAACAAGGGCAGAGGTGGATCGGAGTTTTTCTGCACATGGCTAAAATTTGAAAGAGGAGCTCGGGCATTGCTGCAATCGTATTTTAAGGTGTCCAACACAGACAAGCAGGTGACTGAATTTGTTCCTTTGGAAACCAAGCCTTTTTATTAAAAAAAAAAAAAAGTAACAATATTTGAAATTATGACAATCTAATTGAATCAATTTAAGTCATTATTGGTTATTATTCCTAAAGCAATTCTAGTTATGGGAAAAGTCATAAGCAGGTCATGTTTGCTGGTGAAGTTTTAATAAAAGTCAAACCACTGAAATGGATGAAGTCACTGAACAGAAACCATCAGAAACCAAAGGTGTCTTGAACTGCTAACCTCATTATAGCCAGCAGGCAGCTCTCCCATGAATGCGAAGGAATATTTACTTAGTTTCAGTTTGTTCAGATAATTGCATTCCATATGCACTGTTAAGTCACATTTAACTAACTGGCATATAAGAGATGTTCCTACTTTATGTGGAAAAATTAGCATAAGGTGGTAAGATCTGCTAGTACTAAAATCCTGGAGGATTACAACCTACCAGGAATAATCAGGAATACCTTTTTCATTAACAGGTTTCATCAAAACGTATTTTAGTCAACTTCTTTCTCCAGCATAGAATCACAGAATAGTTTGGGTTGGAAGGGACCTTAAAGGTCATCTAGTTCCAACCCCCCTGCCATGGGCAGGGACACCTTCCACTAGACCAGGTTGCTCAAAGCCCCATCCAACCTGGCCTGGAACACTTCCAGGGATGGGGCATCCACAACCTCTCTAGGCAACCTGGTCCAGCATCTCATCACCCTCACAGTAAAGACTTTCTAATATCTAATCTAAATCTACCCTCTTTCAATTTAAAGCCATTATCCCTTGTCCTATCACTACCTGCCCTTGGAAAAAGTCCCTCACCAGCTTTCTTGTAGGCTCCATTTAAGTCCTGGAAGGCTGCTACAGGGTGTCCCCCGAGCCTTCTCTTCTCCAGGTTCAATAACCCCAATTCTCTCAGCCTGTCTTCATAGGAGAATCCCTCTGATCATGTTCATGGTCCTTCTCTGGGGTCGCTCCAACAGGTCCATGTCTTTCTTATATTGGGGGCCCCAGAGCTGAATACATGTTATAGATATTGCCAACTAATTAAAAGAACACTTAACTGCTTTTCTGCAAGTAATCTGAATTCCAATTTCCATCTGAATCAAACTTGGCACAAATCATGAACAAATGAACAACCATCTAATAGGATAGACAATGTTTACTATTTCTGAATATAAGAAACATTAAATTTTAAGAGCCCAAATCAAAATGTCAGGCTGGCAATGGCTTTAAAACACACTCACAGGTGTATTTAGAAAAAGGACAGAAAGTTGCAACCACCCTTTCTGATCTTAAAAGTTGCCTACTGAAGCCTCCACATGGTTCACCTTCACAAAACATGTTCCACATACCTAAGAGAGCTGTGCGAAGGGTGGAGATCCCAGGAGCTTCTCAGGCAGGAGATGCCAGGAGCCACTCGGGACACAGTGGCAGGGAGGGGACGGGCTGGTCACACACGTGTAGGGACTGGCCTGTTTACGCCCGCAAGTGGGCTGTGGGCCACCATGTTACTCACCAGCCCTGTGGGCAGCCAGACGCTGTAGTCTGGGTGTGCAATGTGCAGCTAAACAGCTCACAAACAACAGGTTGGCTGCCCTTGATACGATGCATCTCCAGGGGATGCAAAGGATGGCCAAATGTAGTTTAAAAGTGGTGTAGTTCTGTGAAAATATGCTGATTTGGTTACCAATAAAAAGGGAGGGGAAGAAATCTTTTAGGAAGGGATAGCAGGGAAACACGACCTAGAGTACAAATACAAAACAAGGCAGCAATTGATTATCTGAATGAATCCCACTTGCTGATCCACACCATAATTAAACTGGCGATTCAAATCAATGTAGCCTGGTGTTGTCTTACCCTCTTAAGTTTCATGTATTTTATTTACACATATTTAGTAAGCTTCTCATGACATGTCCTGGATCTCAGAGTACATGAGCAACCAGTGAATGATAAGCAATGAAAATGCTCCACTGCTGCTTTTCCATTTAAGTGCAAATAATGTCAACAGAACTCAGGAATAAGCTCCAGCAATGGGGAAAAGGCATCAGAGAAATGTCTCCCTGCTTATTTAGATCTTAAGCTGGGGAAAAAGACAGGAGCAGTATTAGCATTAATTAGAACCCCAGCTACCATGCAGATCTCCTGCACCAAAGTGTAAAATCCCAAATTGGTACAAGCTTGTTAAAACGAGCACTTTCACTGTCAGAGGAGGAACGGGGGGGAGAAAGAGGAAAAAAAAAAAAAGGGAGAGCAATTCTGGCTTTCCATCAAGTATATTTCATAATTGTCTGTTAAAATATGCACCCACATCACAAAGACTTTTAAAAAAACAAGTATTTTTAAATGTATGTACAATGATGCAAAAATATGCCCAAATATGTATCTTATGCAAAAAAAATAAACCATTTAATAAAATCTCCCTTCAAATGTCGCCTTGCTCTTCAACACCTTAAAAAAAAAAAGAAAAAAAGGAAAGAGCTCAGTAAACAAACAGGCATTAAAACACAAACTAACAGAAAGACAAAAGCAGTGCAAAGCAGACACTTAAAAATGGAGAGGCATCCAGTTCAGCTTCCTATTCCCCTGGATTACACCACAACTACAGCACCACTTGTCCTATGTCAGTTGAATTTTGGTTTTAAAAAGTCAGCTTGGTGTTCAAGCTATAAGAAGCTGCCTGTGGCACTCATTTTCCACGCAAGCAAAAAAAGTTAATGATAATCCAACTAAGCACCCTTTAAACCCCCTTAAACAGGGGTGAATTTCACCCTAGGCAAATATTTCATGTTCTCTGTATTCCTGCCAAGCACAGAGATCCCATCCAACAAACAATATGGACTAAAGTCTACCTGGACAACTGTGGTGGGAGAGAGACTTCTGCTGTTTCACAGTTAATTGTTTAGTCATCTCTTCTTTCTACATTCTCTAGGAAACTGTGAAGAGGGCTCTGGTCTTACAATTTCAGTTAAGTCCAGTATCTTATATTTGTGACACTGCAATTTCACTGGTAACTGGGCTCCTAAACATTTCTGAAGACTAGGTCTTAATGTCCAAGTTAAATGAGACACTTCAGTTGCAAAAGAAAATGCTGATCTGGTTCTTATTTGGATGTGTTCAGGTGACTGATGTATATCCTTCATCTTGCTAGAGTAACTGCCCTCAGGGTACAGTGGGCTGTATGTGAAATACAGCTCTTGTTTGCAAAAGCAATCTGAGGAGGTTTCACTATTGCTCCCTATAGGAAAGGTGGCAGGAATTGAAGCACTATTTAAAAAACCTGCTTATAAGGCACTGGTGCAGCAAGGTTTGTGATGAACGTGGTTTTATGATTTCTATTTTCCAACTGTTTAAAAGTAAGTCCATTAAATCAACCCTAAACAGCAATAAAAAGACATTAGAAAAGTCCCAAACAAAAAAAATCAACTTAGTATTGAAACTTAATTTATGACAGTCCCACTTCAGTGCACACACTAGCTCCTGCATGTTTTTTTAAACTCATTGTTGGCTCATGCTCACCCTATATACAAAAGTCCCCCATAAAGCCACGATGGGCTGAATATCTTCTACAAACAAGAACTTTTTAGATGACATGATACAGGTACACATTAAACTTACAGATGGTGGACAGGAACAGAGAAACATGTATTGGCTTATCCACTGTACATATCTATTTAAAGCTTTAAAAGAATAAGAATATACACAAAATATACACTGAATTCACAAAGTAAACCAGCCCTCAACATATGCTATTTTGTAGGGCTATGCACTTCTTGTATTAAAATTCCACACAGGGAACTATCTCTGTGCCAGCTCCTCTTCATAAGCAATAGGATCACTTCAAGGTAAATTAGTTCTTCATGTATATGTAACAGAAATAGCAAAAGCTCAGCCTCTAGTCATCACTGTCACTCCCAGACTCACTCAACTGCAAGTCATTTCCTATGGAAAACAAAAAACAAAACACAAGTGAGTAGGCGTTAATTCACATTTCATGGCAATCAAACCAAAGAACAGTCACATCTACACTGGAAGATTTAAATAAGAATAATGCAAGAAATGAATACAAACATCGTCTGTCATTTAATGGAACTGCTCTCCATGCCCAAGAACATTAAGAGCTTCATGGGGCTAATACACGGTCGGATCCAGGCCAAACTGAATGTCCTTGGCTCCACAGCCACCAAAGCTGCTCCCTGGTGGGAGAAAGCATTCCCCATGCTAGCAGCTGTGGAAGGCATTCCACAGCCTCCACCCAGTCAAGCTCCCGTATATGGCTCTGGGACAAGGCACTGGGGAATTCCCTGGCTTTCTCGGCCCCTTTAAAATAGATTTTTTTTGTTTTAAGGCCATTTGGGTAGCCAGTGCAAGGCCTCTACATGTCAATAAACCAAAAGGATTCTTAAAGCCATTGCAACTCAAGGCTATCAGCTGAACTAAGCTGACATGCTGTGACAGTGAAGGCCCCCCTCCAAAGTGCAAAGAGAGATCAGACAAAAGGAGGCCAGGATATGGATAAAACCTACAGTCTCAGACCCTGTTTTGCAGAGCGCTTGTGATTTGGTGAGGTAAAGGGGATAAAAGGGGGCAAGAATCATGCCTGTGTTCTGGTAACTGAACCTAGCTCTTCCAGCATTCTTCCATGGCCCTGCCCCAAGCAGCTGCAGAGCAGCTATGCAACAGCTATGCCCTGGATTTCTTCATCTCCTCTCCCCTTTTATGAAACAAGAACTTGGGTTAGGGGTGATTCTACCCATGTAGATGGTCACCAGTGACTTGAATGCTCAAGGACATATTAATCCTTGCCAAAAGGACTTTAAATCCAAAGGCAAAAATCACTGCCTGAAAAAAGGAGCTACCCTACCAGTTCCCAAACTCTCCTGGAGTCAGAGGCTTCTTGACATTCAATGACCTATGCAGTATTGTTGTTGTGGCCCAGGAGAAGCAGGGAAGAGGCAGCTCACAACCAGAAACAGGGAAATGGAAGGAGTCCTACTGACTTCATTGAACTTTGGATTTCACTTGGACATTCACTACTGACAGGAAGACTGACAGGCCTCTCCAGTTTTTCAGCAGGCCTTTTCAGTATTGTCTGTACAATATACTTTCTTCTTGAAGCTGGAAATCCTACATTTATCTGTATTTAAACCCCACCAGTTCCCTATGTGTGGGTGCCAAGAGATGTACGCAAACATGCCTCAGGAGGAATTAAGAACAATTTCTGGTAACTAAGTTCTAGTTTCTTGTAAATGCAGTATTTTAACTCCACTGAGTTAGAATACACCTGATCTAGCATAAGGAAGGAGCAACACAGATGTACACCATCTCCCCAGAGAGAGTCTCATGGGACAAAACTATGCTTTAAAAATGTTTTTTACACTTTTTAAAGGGTGGAGTGAGTCTGTATTGATTCAATGCTTGCAAATGCCACAGCTGTAATATTTTAACCAAATACATGGCACTTTAAATTTCCCTTCAAAATGTGCTATTTGTGAAAATGCAGCTGAGACTAATACAGTATAAATACTCTGACAAAGCAACACCACTAATAATGAAGACCACAGAGACTGTGCATTTATGACCACAGGACAGCCTTGTGCCATTCACAATTCTTTGCAGACCTTTAACTGACGCACGTGACAACCCCGCTATTTATGTCTAATCTATGTTTTCACATTAAAATGATTCCCATCCTCTGGTGCACTAGATCCTCCCACACCGATGCTTTTCTACCCACTCGTTTCACCTGGAGGCCTGAATCAAGGCTCAGCACAGTCAATGGGGGCCACTGCACTGATGCCCACAGGTGCTCTGGACCAAACTGAAGCGATCTCCACACCTTCAGACAGGTCTCAGCTCTCTGTTCAAAAAACCTGCCCACATATTTCAGCCAGTGCAACTCCCTGGGATTACTATTTGGCAAACAGCACTTCATGGAGTTAGCCTAACATGCTAAGGAAATGAGTGGTCTCAAGTAGCTTCCCACAGCGATAAGACACAAGCCTTTACTTACGGAGCGTATTCATGAGCTGATTGCTTCCTTGTGACCTGCTGGTGCCATTAGCAACAGCATTCCTGTTGTTATACTGCTGGTGTGGTGGCTGGGAAGGGGAAACATGTGCTGGCTCTTCCCCCTCACTGCTGGAGCTTTCATCTTCACTCCCAGATGAGCTTTCTGAATCTGATGAGCTGCTTCCACTGCTGCTGCTCATCTGCTCAATAATTTCAACCTCTGCTCTCAGCTCTGAAATAAAAGGACATTCATCAGGTTGAAACCATAAACAGGGCCCCATGGAATTTTGGAAAAGAATGTGAAAATGCAATAGTTTTGTCAAGAATAATTTATCATATCAAAATATCTCACATGAAAGAGACAGACCAGGAAGGAAAAACAAAAAATTCTGAAAACTTTTTTTACTTAGTTGTTGTAGCTAAATTTAATGAAGCAACAGCATAGTATAGGTTAGTATCATAAAGCCTTCACTTCCACTACTATTATTTATAAACTTTACACTCCTCAAAGCATGTCCTGCTTCATTATTTTCAACAGGTTATATGCTCTACATACAAAGTAAGTGCATTTCCTGATTGAGTTTTACAGACCAACAGCCAGCCCATTTTTTAAAAGCATCTTAACATGGAGGAATTGAAATTGTTAGATATGACATTTAAGCTTTTAGAAAACACAAAAAGGGGGGAGAGGAGCATAGGCACATGATCACAACAGAAACTGCCTTGATTTCAGATAATGTATGAAACTGCCCCAGTGCAAAGTCACACAACTAATTTTAAACAAACTTTAGGAGCAGATGGATGACATCAGATAACTTTGCAGTGGGGCAGCTGAGAATATTCACATGTTGGGGAGTGGTAATAATACCTTAATCTGCTACAGAGTTTATAAGTAGCCAGGAAAATAGAGAGACTACTCTGAAACTGGGAAGTTATTCAAGTCAGACACACCCCACTTCAGGGCTTCCAGTGCAAAGCAACACTGGAATACCATGACAGCACCACGACAGCCACATCAGCAACAGCTAGTGTTGGCTGAACAACTGGTTACTAAACAGCTGTTAAGTCACCCCAAATCATACCATATTGTTAAATTTGTCATAATTGTAAGTGGCCTGAACACTATTAGAGGACAATTCTTTTGTATCCATCTACAAAGTCGAGTATGTAATGACTCAGTTCACCTAGGCAGGTTTCCATGAGACAACAATATTCACAAATATGTTGAGCATACGATGTGAAACCCTCAAAATTCAGGCTTTTGTTGTGCTATCAGTTCTATACCCACAGGGTTAGAAGTCAGTGCTTGCCCTGGAGAAGTCACAAGCTAAAGGGACAAGAATGAAAGAAGGGAGAGATGAGGTATTATCATCTCTGCCTAACAAATGGAGAACTGATGCCAGGAGTGATTCACCTTAGGTCAGATGTGTGTCAGAGTGAGATGAACCCCAGCTCCTCAGCTGGGGACATCCTTCTTGTGTTACGGCATAGCCAGATCATGTAAAACAAGTCTTGCCTTTATGTAAAAATGGCACAATTTTAATGCTTCTTGTCTTCAGCCCCTGCAAGGAGCAAGTCTGAACAACTGTAACTCTTCCCTTTTTTAATAAGACCCACTTTCCTTGAGCTGCTTAACACTACAGAGTAACAGCTAAGTTTTCAGCCTCCACATTATTTGCTGGAGAGAGTTCCCCTAGCTCAGCATGTATTGGTTTGAGAAACTAAGTTTTCTTTTGCTAGTTTTAAAACTGCTATTTTTCAATTTCAAAGTTCAGAGGTCAATTTCAAATGCTATAGTTATACTGAATCAGAGGTGAGGCTATTTAAGGATAGTGGGGTTGTTCCTCCAACTTACTTCCTAAATCTAGATCCCAGATGAGACTGCCTGTGTCCTCTGTACTTTAACAGTATGCCAGGTAAAACTTACTTTTTCATCTTGAAGACATAGCGTAACAGACCATTGGAAGAGGAAGGAAGAATATATGATTAGGCCAACAGAAGATATTACTTTGTACTGTAATGTCTTTCTCCCTTACTCCTTCCCAACGCAGTCTTGCAGGCTTTAAAAATCCATTTCACACCTGGAGTGTGATACACAGACAAATGAGCACTTGTAAGATCACTGTTCTCAGCCTACCCATATTGAGGATTTCGCATTGTAAATGTTCTCTGTCTTCAAGGCCAATAAATTCATAGGCAAAAGCTAAAGGAAAGGTAAACAGGAATAAGGGTTCTTTCCCTTTAAAATTCCGAGATTTAAACTTTTTTTTTCCCTAGCTTAATGATATAAAATTTCCACATACTTCTAGTGCTGAAGTTGTTAGTTTTAAGTTATAGCGATGATAATAATACATTGTTAGAGTATCTTGGATTGTAGCAAGCACAATCACCTACAGACCACAGTCCATATTGCAAAACGATTCAATAAACAAGTCTAATAAAGGACAAGTGTCTGAGAACTGCACATGTATGCTTACAGAGCTAGAGAGTCTATGGCTGAAATGGAGGAGTGTTGGCACATGGGCTGAGAAGAACATAGCAGACCAGAAAGCAGCATATAAAATAGCGTGAAGAAGGTGAAGCAATCTAAGAGGCATTGGTGGTGAAAGGGAAAAGATGCAACAAGAAAAGCACTCCAGAAATCTAGGGGGGGGGGGGGGGGGAAATAAAAAAAAGAGGTTTGAACTCAACA